GAACAAATATAGAGTCTACAAACTAATATATGGTATACAGTATATATTTCAAAACTGATATATATATATATATATATAAATTAGAACTAGACATTCCCAATTATTTAAGATATAAGTGTGAAAAGGTTTGACAATTGAAAATATACATATAGTAATTCATCCCCCATAGTAATTCATCCCCCCTATAGTAATTCATCCCCCATATAGTAATTCATCCCCCATAGTAATTCATCCCCCATATAGTAATTCATCTTCCATAGTAATTCATCCCCCATATAGTAATTCATCCCCCATATAGTAATTCATCCCCCATAGTAATTCATCCCCCCTATAGTAATTCATCCCCCCTATAGTAATTCATCCCCATCCCCCATATAGTAATTCATCCCCCATATAGTAATTCATCCCCCATAGTAATTCATCCCCCATAGTAATTCATCCCTCATAGTAATTCATCCCCCATATAGTAATTCATCCCCCATATAGTAATTCATCCCCCATAGTAATTCATCCCCCCATAGTAATTCATCCCCCATATAGTAATTCATCCCCATAGTAATTCATCCCTCATAGTAATTCATCCCCCATATAGTAATTCATCCCCCATATAGTAATTCATCCCCCATAGTAATTCATCCCTCATAGTAATTCATCCCCCATATAGTAATTCATCCCCCATATAGTAATTCATCCCCCATAGTAATACATCCCCCATATAGTAATTCATCCCCCATAGTAATTCATCCCCCATATAGTAATTCATCCCCCATAGTAATTCATCCCCCATAGTAATTCATCCCCCATATAGTAATTCATCCCCCATAGTAATTCATCCCCCATAGTAATTCATCCCCCATAGTAATTCATCCCCCATAGAGTAATTCATCCCCCATAGTAATTCATCCCCCATATAGTAATTCATCCCCCATATAGTAATTCATCCCCCATAGTAATACATCCCCCATATAGTAATTCATCCCCCATATAGTAATTCATCCCCCATAGTAATTCATCCCCCCTATAGTAATTCATCCCCCATATAGTAATTCATCCCCCCTATAGTAATTCATCCCCCATATTAATTCATCCCTTATATAGTAGTAGTAAGTAAGTAGCAAGTAGTAAGCCAAGTCCCCCCTGTGTCAATTCACTTACCTTTGCTCCGCGCGTTCCTCTCGCCGTATTCCCGCGCCGTTCCGGTCTTCAGGGCGGACTGTGAGAGGAGCCTAGCTCCTCTCACGTTCGTCACGCTGCCCTGCCTACACACATCCTGACAGCCAATCACTGGCTATCAGGATGTGAGTGGCAGCAAGACTGGCCAATCATTGCATTTGAGCGCGCTGCCCTGGCTGGTTTTTTTTTTTGGATCACGCTGCAGAGTCCCTGCCGCCCGAGAGGAGGGAGGGGAGCGGGCGCCCGGCACACAAGAGCCGCATTAAAGCGTGTAAAGAGCCGCATGTGGCTCGCGAGCCACGGCTTGCCGACCACTGGGCTAAGCGATGTTGCGTGACCACCTGCAGCCAATGATGGACAAGCGGGGCATGTCATCACGAATCATATGAGTCGGGTGTGGGTCTTCACCTCCGCCGAACCCGCGAGACTGACTCACCGAACCCCTGGGGTTCGATCGAACCCAGGTTAAAAACCACTGTACTAGACCATATAAATTTTGAGCTTTGGGCTTGAGCTACTCCATGTTCCTTTGCATGCACAAAGCTGAAGATGGTATTTAATAAGTATGCCTTCTCTTTGTCCCCAGACACTGACTCTAAATTATTTTGTAAAGTGCCTACACGCTCAGACCTGACTTTTTTACTATTTACTAATAATATAGTTGAAGAATTTTGGGGGGTTTGTCCTACTTTCTTTTGCAATCTGTCATTCATTTTGAATTTTTGTGGCCTTGATCTCCTTTTTTACCTAATCTGTTGTTTGTACATTTTAAATGATGAGAGTATTTCTTCATTTTTATATTTTTTACATGCTCTTTTCTTATTATTTGTAGCATTTTAACTTTCACCATGGGAATATACTGTATTATGCAATCTGTTTACATACAGTGGATTTGAAGCATTCCCATTTCTGTTCTGTGTTCTTCAATGATATTCCCTCCCAGTCTAAATTTTGGAGAGCAGCTCTCATCCTTGAAAAATTTGCTGTCTTAAAGTTAAGTGTTTTTATACTTCTAGCATGTGCTTGTTGCTTACAGCTAATAATAAATAAAATCATGTTATGGTAATTGCTACCCTGGATTTCTTTTATATGAACATTAGTAATAGGCTCTGCATGGGTTGAGATTATAAGGTCTAGCAGAGCATCCTTTCTAGTTGGGACTTCTATCAAACGAACCATAAAATTGTTTTATAATAGGTTTATAAGGTTTATGAATACAGCATCTGCCCTTTAACTGTGTCATTTCTCCAGTCAATTTCAGTATAGTTAAAACCACCTTTTATTATCACTGTACTGGCCCTAGCAGCCCTTTCTATCTGTGCAAGTAGTTGAGTCAATTGAAGACTGCAAGCAGGCAGATAAGTGTTTGTTGCAGAAGAGACAGAGCATGTCCTTCCTGGAATAATGAGCTGCTTACTTGCAGTTTTTTACTACTAAAGTTTAGTTCCACTTTAAAGCAGTATTAAACCCAAAAGCAAGCATTTATTATATTGCAGCTTACCAATTCTTAGATGTGATGACTAAGTTTGTTTTCTGTTTTAGAATTTCTCTCTTCTATTTTAATCTGGTAATCTGGTCAGTAAATACAATTATCAGTGCTCAACAGCAAAGATAATACCAATAACCCAGCTGCCACTAAAAAAGTGCTACCCTTATTTCACTAACCAACTTAAATGCATGTCTGGAAGCAGTGCTATTGCCAACTTGTAAGTATTGCCTGTAAATGCTCATCAACAGTGAATCAATAAGATATCTGTAAAATACTAAATAAGTAAATAAAATGTGATAAGAATGAATTAATAAAATACATGTGAGAAAAAGTCCTGTGTACAATCCAAATAGTGGTCGTGTTCAACTGTCAATATACTGTATGCAGCGGTGTATTTACGTTTGTCTAGGGCAGCAATTTTTAGTGGGGTGGCACCACTCCCCAGAAGAAGGAACCTGGTGAGCAGTGAGTATTCCTGTAGGTGGCCCAGACAGCAGGAGGATTGGTGTGGTGGGGGAGGGCAGTTGCAGAATGATGCTCTGTGTATCTCTCCCTCCAGCAGCTGAAAGCTCATTTCCTCCCCTCTACTTCCCGCTGGATTTCTGCTGCTGGAGGGAGAGACAGACCTGGCCAGATTGAGGGGGTGTCCTGGTGTTTGAGTGGCCACTGAGCTCCTTCCCCCGCCGCACTCAGAGCTGTGACCAGGGGAAAGCCTGGAGTAGGGAGAGGAGAAGTGGCGGAGAGGAAAGAGCCAGGAGAAGGTGGGCTGTGTTGTGTTCTCTGGGCTCTCCCTCCTTTTGTATATGCAACCCAGAGATGAGCAGCCCTTGGAGGAGGTAGGGGGCGGTAATCATAGTGTGTGTGTATGTAATCCCATACGATCTATCAGTAATCCTGTCTCATGTGTTGCATGGACGACAGGAGGGAGAGCCCAGAGAACACCACACAGCTCACCTCCTCCTGGCTCGTTTCTCTCCACTTTTTCTAGGAACTGTAATGTGGATTTTGGGAAGCGGGGGTCGTATTTGCTAGGAGGAATGGGGGGAATATGTGCTAGTAGGGGAGAGAGAGAAGAGAGAGAGAAGAGAAGAAGGAAAGTAGAGAGAAAAGAGAGGGAAAAGAGAAAGAGCAGAAAAAGGAAAAGAGAGAAAAGAGAGAGGGAGAGAGAGAGAGAAGTGAGAGGGGCGAAGAGAGAGAGAAGCGAGGGAGAGGGAGAGAGAGAGAGAGAGAGAGAGAGAGGGAGAGAAAGAAGAGAGAAAGAGGGAGAGAAAGAAAGAGAGGGAACAGAGAGAAAGAGAGGGAGAAAGAGAGAGAGAGAGAGAGGGAGAAAAGAGGAAAGGGAGAGAGAGAAGAGAGGGAAGAGAGAGAGAGAATCATATATACACACACACAGTGTTCACTCACCAGAAATCTAGTGACCTCATATATGTAAAAAGCAGCGCTTAATGCCATGTAAATCCTCCACTTCTCGACAGCACTCAATCATAGGGATATATAGCTGACAAAACTCCTTCATGTTATTTAGACACAGACAAAGACCATAGAAGAAACTTAATTGTGCAACATTTGATATTAAAATCCCAGAAAATAGTTAAAAATATGAACTCACATAAATATATGCCTCTTTGGGCACCCAATGTATTGCCACAAAGCTTTGCAAGGATATGCCACCACACCATTCTACTCAAAGGATATGACGTCATCAGTGAGTACAGCCATCCAGAAGTCCCACCTCCATGCACCATGCATTTCATCATCAGACATCATCAAAAAGCTGCTGCTGAGAAGATCAGTTAGACAAACACCTAGTTCACCTAGTCCAAAAGGCTAACAAAACACATTAGATCTCATAAGAAGAATATGTATAAGATGCATATCATATTTGGTCTTTAACCTCCCTAGCGGTATGATTATTTCAGATTTTTGGTGCTGAAAGCGGTACCATTATTTTGCATGGAAATATGTCGTTTTTTTTATTGTAGGCTGTAATTTTTAGAAATAACTCACTGAAATCTGTCCAAACAAGAGTCTATTAAACATCCCGAGTATGATAAAATTTGAAACACGAAATCATAAATTATAATTTAATAAATGTATAATAATATAATAATACATTTAATTCAATAATATAATCAAACCGAAAACACTGAAATTTGAAATTGCTGAGCAAAGTCGCAAAATCGTTTTCAGTGTCTGATGCTGAATTTCCCCACGAATCATTATCACTCAATTCTGCAAGTGGTTCTGATTTACTATCGCTGTTCTCTAGCTGATCTAAACCCGCTTTTGACCTAAAGGGACACTTTTTGGACGCCATGGACGTTTCTCAGTTTCCAGGCAGAAAGAACAGACAAAATGCAGGCAGGGCACAGGACAAAGCACTAGGGACAATATGTATGTGAAATGGGTTGAAACAGCAATGTTTTACTATGAAAAATTTGTTTTGTAAAAAAATGAAATTTTTAAAAATGTTCAAATTTCCCGCTGCCGCCACCCGTACGTCCTGGCGTCACAGGGACCGGTACACAGAAGCCGGATGCCGGCATCGGCCGGAGGAGATGGCCGGGGACGCTGCAGGGGACACATCACGAGAGCCAAGGTAAGCTCTGCAGGGACTCCCTATGCAGCGCCGCATGGTAAGCCCGAGTGTAGCTCGGGGTTACCGCTTTTGGCACTGACATTTTACCCCGAGCTACACTCGGGAATACCGCTAGGGAGGTTAACAAATTGTAAATTCATACTGTTTCATTATATGTTGGTTGTTTCACCTTGTCTGATGGAAACAGAGGCGTAGCTAGGATATTTTGCGCCCGGGGACGAACTATAAAATTGGCACCCCAACCCCCCTCCCCGTTTAATCACATCAGTGACACCAATGATGGGGCACTATTCCTCCCACTGACACCAATTACACTTACCTTGCTGACCCCTGCTCCAGCCTAGGCTCCTTCCCTCTCCATCCACAGCCAGCATACCTGGTTGCAGCAGCACCATCTGCACGGCACACTTACCGGTCAGCTGTCTTCTTCACTTGCTCCGGCCGCTCCCTTACTCGATCTTCGCGCTGCTGCTCGGCCCCTCCTCTCCAAGCTCCGCCTCCTCACAGATGATTGGCCGCCTGTGTGATTTTCCTGAGCTACAGTTCTGGCGCCCAATCACCTGTGAGGAGGCGGAGCTTGCAGAGGGAGGTACAAGCTGCCATAGGCTGTCCAGCGATCCCGACGGTGTGGCCAGATGACAGGGGCGGCATGTCATCCTGCCCACACATCGCATCCAGGGAAAAGAAGACACCGGACCTGCGGACCTCTCTACCCCTCCTCCAGCAGCGCCTCCTGGACTGGATAGTCGTGGGACTGGGACACAGAGCCAGGTAAGACAAAGCAGCTCATTGCCCGCCCCTGTACTAAGTGCCCCTTCCGTTGAAAGAGGGGGCGGCGGCACTTTAGGCAAACGCCTTGTTTGCCTCGCGGCAAATATGGCCCTGGTTGTTAGCCTCATTTTGGCGCCCCTGTACCTTGGTGCCCAGATACATATGTACCCCCCCCTGCCCCCCCTCTAGCTATGCCTCTGGATGGAAATATAGGTGTACTTGTAATAATTGGCATTGTCAAGTGTGTCCACTGAAACATAAAAAAGCATACTCATTGACACACCTCTCAGACCCTTTCGAATGGATTTAATTAGATCTGCGACAAACTTCTCCATGAACAGCAAAATGCTATTGCATTTGTCAACTGCAGCTCCTTATTTGACATTGAAAATACTAAGGATACTATGAGAGTTACGTATGTTTTTAATGGCAAGAGATGGATACCTAAAAATTTTTTCACTTATAATTTATTTTATTAATATTGTTGCTTCTTGTCTGTGTGGTAATATTTCTGTAAATATGTTTTGTAAATACTGTGTTTTCTCTTTTTTATATTAGAACTGTGTTTCAAAATCATTAAGCAGTTTTCTTTTTAATGCCCTAATTTAAAATTAAAGAACTTTTGCTTCTATGAAGGGCTAGTCTGATATAAAACTCTGTTATGAAATAAAAAAGGTTTTTGTGGCTGTGGCTGTGGCTGTGGTTGCCAATATCCCTATTGATATAAAACTCTGTGGCCATACCCAGGAAGGGATGTAGCAAATGTTTCAGACATTTCTTAAAGGTATGAATTGTAGCAACTGTGGATGCTGTGAATGGTGCGTATTTCCATTAAAACATGTGGTGGCAACTACTGCCTGTGTGTGTAAAGGGTTAACTGGTCAGTTACCTGCTCCGTTGATGATCACTGTGAATCTATTGTTGGTTAGATTATTGTCCCAGAAAAGGAAAATCTCTACACAGGGTACATGAGTATGTAATGTCACATTCTGGTTGCAGGGTGGCACGTAAGAGTAATCATCACAATTTCCAAACACTTTCTTGTGGTGAAATGTCAGAATTCTGCAAAGAAAGGGGACCATTCCTGGATGGCATTTCCTGGCCTTTGATGCAGATGGACAGGACAGTTATCTGAAGCTCTGGAAAGCAGGGGTATCTTGCTTACCTACCAAATAAAGCACAATAATATAAAGTAGAATAACTGTTGGCACGGCAATGTCCTTTTTATTTTTAAATTTTTTTTATTTTTAGGAAATTGATTCATTTTTAAAACATTTTATATTTCGCAGGCAAATGTAGCAGTGCCCCTAAATTATTGTGAGGTATTCTCCTGTGGTTTCGCCCCGCAGCCAGGCACACATGCACAGTCACTTTATGGCTTAGTAAACAGTCCAGGGTGTTCTTTTTGTTGTTTGTATATTTAATGATAACTTGGTTAGGGATTAAGGATGAGTGAGATGCTCCAAAAAGAACCATGTACAAGATGAGGACACTAACTTTCTTCTGCAGCACTTTAAACACAGTCCCTGTAGGGGCCAGTAATGGACTTGGCTTAGTTGAAGCAGATAAAGGAACACACTTTTTTAAGCAACTTGAGCAGAGTCCGTTTAACATAGAAAAAGATGTACTAAGCTATTCAGGATACCAGTCAGTGTCCCCTTTACAGCACACTCGGTTGACTCCATAGAACCAGATGGGTAGCAGCAGCCCACGGTCTCTAGAATCTCTTCTACAATCTCTTCTAGTCTCCAGATCCAGTAAGATCCAGTAAGACACAGTCCCTCGGTCAGATTCCAGGCTTCTAAGCTAGCCCAGTTGAGGTCTCATGAAGCAAGCACATGGCAAGCCTGCTCAGAGGGCAGCAAGCCCTCCAGGCTGGACTCCTCCTCTCCAGGAAAAGATAAGAGAGCCTCAGATCTTAGACTATTTATACCCATTCCCAGGAGCTACATGTGCAGGGCTTCACCAAGATTGCCTGGGGCAATATAAATATTTATGCTACCCACTTACATTGCTCCCTACCTATGTTCCAAAACTGTCCACAGGGTTGTGAAAATACAGAGTGAGAGAAATGAGGCTCCATTCACATCTGAGCGTAGCGTTTTTTTGTGCATATTTTACTGGTTTTGAGCTTTGGCATTTTTCTTTAGCCAACAGTGAAAAATATCATCTGCTGCATCATTTGTTACTAGGTTTCTCTGCTTCAGCTTTTCCATCAGCTGTTATTTATTTTTTAATTATTACTATTATTAATTTATTATTATAAAATTATTAATTTATCTATTAATGTATTATTCATGTATTATTTTTTGTTAGGTGATGATAATAATAATAATAATAATAATAAATGAATGTTAAATAAATACAGATAAAAATTATCATAAACAAATGCTATGTAATAATAAATAAATAATAATTATCCTAACGTTAACCCCCAACCCTTAAAAAATATATTAAATTCTTCTTATTATTATTATTATTATTTATTATTATTATTATTATAATAATGTCTGGTTGTTACAAACAAACCAACAACAACCAAACAAACAACAAGAACAACAACAACCCTAACCATTTTTTAAGATTAGGTGTTAATTATAATTTTTTTTTTTACATTTATTTATTCATATATAATTAAAATTATTTAAAAAAAATATTTTCATTTGAGCAGAAAATCACGCAAAACGCACGTAAAACGCGCCAATTGCGCGTTTCTATTCTTTTCTATGAACTTGCCAAAAACATGCAAATCTGCCCAATTTGAGCTAAAAAAGTAGCTCCAAAACTTTTTTGAGCTTCAGGTGTTCTACTTCAGGTGACTTGGAACCATCTCTATAGAATAATATTGATTTTTTTCCCCCCTGAATGTTTTGGAGCTTTGAGCTTCGCACTACAAAATGCTCAGGTGTGAATGGGAATTCGTCTGCAGTCTGTGAGACACAGTATAAAGCATAAACAACCACATGCAGCTGTACTGACTACAGTGAGCTAGATCCAAATTTGCCTAACCCAGAATTGCAGTCATACTAGTACAATGAGACAAACTAAATTTACCCACCAACAAAGACACTTAGCCATTGGACATAGTGAGCCAGAGCTAAATCTATCTACTCCTAGCACCTATCTAGGAGGGTGCTACACAAAAAAAAAAAATATATTTGACATATGTCTGTGTGGCATAGACCACATTGTTTAGCTTGGACTACAGCAAATTTAATATCTCCCAAAAAATTATCAGGGAAGTAAAAACTTATAATATATATTGTAAAACTCTGCTATAATGCAACGTGTAAGATGGCAGTGTCCTGCACTTCAGTGGCCCTCACACTCTGTAGAACAGCCCCATGGTATGCTGAACCGCAGGACTTTGCTGGGGAGCAGTGTTATAGAGGACTACATTTCCCAGAGGAGCTGACATGTGGGTGGGGGCATTTACTGTGTATATAGAAGCCTGGGAGATTGGATAGGAAGTAGGAAGTGAGAGGGGAGAGAGCTGGAGAGCAGAAGTGGAGAGAATAGAGTGGAGATGAGTTGCTGACTGCCAGCCTTGCCACTCTGTTCAGTCAGACATTCTGCCAGCAGGTGACCCAGTGCGCAGTGCACGGATGGAATGCTGAAAGTGTGACCGAGAACCTGTGGGGGCCCCCCATCTACAGAGAGAGAGACCACCACAGATCGGGTGAGAGAATCTCATACACCAGCCAAACAAGTGAACACTGACATTCCTGTCAAATCTGCTACTTTTCCTGCACACAGTTGTGGACATGGTATAGAGTTAACACGTGTTGTGGCCTAGCTCTGCTGACCACTACTATTGAACAGATTTGCAGCATAGTTCAATCGTCAGAGCAGACCACAGTGCATGCTTCCTGAAGGCCAGACCACATCATTTTCCCTTAACCATCGGCCTATCCTTTTAAAGGAACATCTACCACCATTGCTATTAGTTACTGCAGTCCAGAGAGGAGTTGTCCATTGCCAGCAAGTTGCTTCTGCCAATTTCTGACACCTTTTTGCGTAGAATTTGCAACCTGCTTACTGCATTAAAGGGACACCACCCCAGCCAAGTGCCACTTAAAGGGATAGTACTTGTCCTTCCTTCTTCTTGTTCTTGTATTAATCCTTTGAGGGACTGTCACCTTCATCTCTTCCCACTTAAAAGGTCTGGATCTTTGTAGTGCACCAACTGGGCCCCAACGAGTATGCAGAAGATCCCTGCATGTAAAGGGATGTTGACTACCCTAATTAAAGAGCTCTTTCCAATCTCATATTTAAACCTTGCCATCAGATCCTGAGGGCCCAAAGTGAGCT